CTTCGGGATAAGGGGGATTGGGGGGGTGGGGTGAAGACAATAGAATAAGAAAAAAAATTTTCAAAAGTTTTTATTAGACATTTGCATTCACCAGTTACCAAATATATTGCACAGACACTTAATATTTAATCTGTTTTGTCCTGGATTCTCGGGGCTAAGGGCAGGGAACATAAAACTGCTCATTGTTTATTGATAGTATTATCATGCACTGCTTACTTGCTTATTTTTCTGAGATTTTCTTGCGAAAGAAACAAAAATTGTGATAAACATCAGGGATATTCTAGAGCAGTGGTGGAAAAAAGCAATGGTGCAAGATGGAATGAAAGAAAAGACAGAAAGAGGAGACTGAAACTGCAGGAACCTTTTTTGCTTTTTGGAAAACTAGGGGACTTTAGCTCTGAAACACAAGACAAACCAGGTTTCAACTTTGGTTCCTTGGCCCCAAAACTGACAGCTAGTACATTTTAACAGGCCATAGAGTGATGATGACACTAAAACATTTGTGATTCATCCAACACTATTATTTCGTTCTAATTTGCCTTATTTTCACATTTGTTGAAGTAAAGAGGGAACGCAAGCATGAATACACTGGGTTTTACCTAGTGTATTCATGCTTTAGGAGCAGTTCAGATCTTAATTAATTTGTAACCTGGGAAGGGAAGAGAAAAAGGAAAATCAAAAAAGGAGAAAAGAATAAGCAAAAAGTGAAGGAAAGAAAGAATGCAGGAGATAACAAGAGGGAAAGTGGAGGAGAGAGGTGATAAGAGGTAAAGAGAAACAGAGTGGACATGAGAGTGGGAGCAAGGGAAGATGTGTATGTGCATTTCTTTCATCACTCATTACTACCATCCTGTGCTGCCATGCTCAACACACTGGCACCACACTGGGTCTCTAGCTACTAAAGAAATGTTACCACAGTAGGGGACACACTAGAGCCGTTCACAAACTCTACACTCTCACCGTCTGGCAGCAGAACATGAAATGTTGCCACACAAAGTAACTGTAAAACTGTATTAAATTCTTAATAGTCTGAAATGAGTACTAGTGGGGTCAAAGTGGCAGTGGGTGGTGCATGCTGGCTTTAAACTTGTGGCTGTGCAATCCTCTTAAGGCATATGTGCATATTAAAGGTTACTGATTATTACAAATATTTGTTTTTAATGTTGTTTTTTACTATTTTTTTATGTATTGTATTGTACAAGCACTGTATTATGTGAACAAGACTTGATGTTGTAATGTTTTGCCTACTATGAATTTCTCTCAAGGGAGACGATAAAGTATATATAACATAACATATTACTTGTTTTTCATCCCTCAAAAAACAGCCGCCCTAAATTCCATGGCTACAGGCTCTCAGCTTAAAGAGTAAGAAATGGGGATGGAGAAATGGGGAAGGGGGATGGTTAGAACATGACTTCTCTCTACTGAATCCTTCAGCCTGGATGAAACGCTTAACTGATTTTGGTATTAAATGTCCACATTCATAATTTACTACGAAGGCCTACTGGAACTTGCTATTACAGAAGATTTATTACAGGAAAAGTTTAGATCTTTCAGTGCGACAGTATGTAACCTCAATAAAATCAAGTCCATAAAACATTTGAATTGACATCATATGAATTGTGAAAAAAAAGTGACAAGTCAAATGACCAAAGTGCCCTGTTTTTACGCTTCTGACTACGGGTAGGATTGTTAACAAAAACTGTCTGCAGGCCTCACAGTTAATGTAAACAAGCCTGACATATAAATCAGAGACTAAATGCTGACCTAATAGCACGTCTCAGAGTATATACTGTAAAGTGTGTGTGTGTGTGGCCTTGTGGGGATGTGGGATAGCACTGAGTTCACGTGTGCTACATACATGTACAATCTTTCTGGTTTTTGGCTAACTCGAAGCCAGGGCGGCACTCGCACGACACCCCGCCTTTGCCAGGAGCCTCTCTGCAGATGTGGGCGCAGCCGTGGTCCTTGTTCATGCAGTTCATCCCCTCTGTGCAGGGGGACAGAAACAGGGGGACAGAGGAAATTAAATAACACCTTGATTTAAAAAAAAACTTTGGAACCTGGAACCTTAGTTTGATTGAAAGGAAAAAACCCAGCTGATGACTCATCATCTGCACAGTACACGTGAGTGAAAATAACCTTTTTCTATATTCAGGACTGAAAACATAATGAACACCGTCAGTTTTAAATTATTAAGAGTTTACTACTTCTTCATCAGGACTGCGTGGGTGTGGTTTGATCAGATTTGCTTGATGATGACTGAACCACTGACTCCTGTGTGTCATTTCTGCCAGTGACACAAAGGACAAAGCAAATGTAACACAATAAGTATCCTTCATGACGATGAATCCTCCTCCAGCATTACATTGGTTTTAGTTCACCTGTCCTGCTTGGACTACAGGTCCTAAAGACAAATTTAGCCTTGCTAGCAACACAGCTCTTGATGAGTCAGTGACGTGGTCCACCACTCTGCTCCAGACTGAAATACTGAACAAACTGTTTGATGGATTTCTGTGACGTTACACATTTATACAGAGACTCACAGTTCTTAGAGGAAGAAGTGTCTGAGCCATGTCACCCATGTCTGACCATCCCCATCACATGATTGGTTGAGGCAGTACCTCGTCAGATGATGTTACTTTGCACTGAGGAAAAGTTGAACCAGATCCTACTTTTTCACCACATGGGACTCTACTGTTTTGCCAGAGCCCCCTCTGGTGCTGGTGCCAAGTGTGGTAAACGCATCATAACATAGAAATGAATGTGAATCTCAGTCTGAGCCTCAGTTTCAGTTTGTTGTTTTTCTTTCCTAATTACTAAAAGTCAGTGTTATGCTTCTGAAACCTCACTTTCTTACACATTAAAACCAGACATTTCCTCTTGTTCATCAGCTACAGTTATTTTCATGCTACTTGGACCTGCCAACCACTTCATTCCCTCTGGATAGCAGTGACAGAAAAACTCTCCACCATCTTGGGCTGTAGAATCCCTCCTTCTCCATCACTTTGCTTACTCGGTAATATCATAGAAGTCACCCACCTACCAATCAAATATAAAAACCCACTCCTCATTTCTCTAGCTATTGCCAAGAAAACAATCTTTCAAAACTGGAAATCAAAAAAATCTCTACACATAAACCACTGGACCAACCTTCTGATAGAATACATCACATTAAAGAAAATGGCATCCACTCACAAGAATAGTTTATCAGCTTTTATTGACACATGGAACCCATTTCTAACACATTTCAACTTGAACCAAACACCTGGGGTTGAAGCCACGCACATTCCCACCAACCTCTAAAAACATAACAAGCTGATTTTATTAGTAGTACTGTTATCATCATTATTATTGGTTATTTTTTATTTATTTTCCCTCCTTTTCCTTTTCTTGCGTTTTATAGACAGAATAAGTTGGAAATACCCACACTTCACACACTACAATCTTGTAAAACACTATATCATTTTGTAATGTCATGTATCTGTTGTCTTCTCTTCCATGTTTGGTACTGTTTTCTTAGTAAAAAAGAAAAAAACCTCCAATTTATATATGACCCTGCTCAGTTCATGTTGTTCTCGGCTGATACTGATATGATGATTGATCATTCTTCCTTCTGCTCATCTTCTGATTCCTCCATCCCTTTATTCTTTGGAAATAACATCTGAAATGTTTGTTACATATTGTAACCTGAGATTCTATGAGTATAGGCACAGCCATCTAAGGTTATGGCTACTGGGATAATATATACATACAAAATATATCTATATATAGGGTTTGCATTAGTGCAATACTGTAACTTCGACCACACTCCATTTAGACTTGCTTCAAAGGCACACTCCTTCCTGGGTCCCCATGGTGAATAATGTTCCTTTGTGAGGCCCCAGAGCACCTCAAGTACCTCATTAGGGTGCCACCCCCTTCAAAAACAAAAGGTCCTTTCTTAAATCAACTTCTATAATTCCATTCCATCATAGTCCTGGACTAAAAAGCCCAAACTTTAATGAAAATAGGATATGAATTACATGAACAAAATGTTCAAACTAAATATACCCCTGCTCATCATCATTCAGAACATATATTTCAGTTAACATTAAATAGACAGGTACTGATTCCCAGTCAAGGTTGGACTGTGAACAATCCAGGAAACTATCAGTGCAATGAAACTAGCAGGTAAATAACTTTAAAGTTGCCAAAGCATGTTTTGATCCTGTCTGAGCACTTAACTTATAAGAAAGCCACGTATCTACCATTGGTTCAAACCTGGGAGAAATCAAACTGAGGCAGAGGGAGGACTGTGGATACAGGTCCAGCATTCAGCACAATCAATCCTACAACAGCAAGCAGAGTGAAATATTGATAGTATGATCTGAGAAACGATTGACTACCGTGTCATGTACTTTTGATTGGAGTTGGTGCAAACACCTGTGCTCCTTTACAAAAAAGCTAAGTTTGTCACATGTGACTGCAATTCTTCAGTTAGTAATGAAAAGGCAGAGAGAACGATGATGTTTCTTTTCTTCAGCTCAGTGTACAGCTTTGTTCAGTTTGGTGAGGTCACCAGGTTTATAACTACTGAAGGTCCCCACTGGGAGCCCCAGCAGGTCTAGATAAAATACTGAGATACATCTTCAAAGCCCAGTAAGAGCTCTCAGGACAATCTGTCTCTCACAGCCTTTCCTCTGCCTCTTTTATTATCCTCTGTCTGTCTTTCACTTTTCACTCTCCGTGTATTTCTTTATCCACCTCTCCACAGGACTCAGTCCCTCAGAAACTCTGACTCCAGATGAGGTCCAAGCATATCACAGCCATGTTATTACAACCTTACTTTTGCAGTGTTACATCCCAAAGCCCCAAAGGTCTAACTGGCAGAAAGAAATAGAGGAAGAATGACAGAAGACAGAAACAGATAATAGATGAGGCAAAAACTGAAGGTAGAAGAGCAAAATATGGAAGAGAAAGGTAGATAGACACTGACTCTCCTTCCTGTTTCCTCTAAGACTGATAGGGAATGAGGTGATGCTGAACACCAGTCTCTGACCCTGAGCTCCTCACCGCTGACAAAAAAAAACTTCACAGTTTCAGGAAACTATCAAGAACACATGAAGTTAACAGACAGAAGATGTTGCAACATTTAAAATCCAAATCATCTGAAGCAGCTATACCAACACTAGTCCTCTGTCCTATGATATAAATAAAGCACATTTTAAAGGTAGCCTGCACATCTTTGTAATGTCTTAATTAAATGTCTTGCAAAATCTCAAAGAACAAGACAAAAATGATGTGTTCATAATGTACAGAATGTGTGTTTGTATGCATACATACTAATGACCATGTGCAGGGTTGTCTGTGCCCACACATGTATGAATTACTAGTTTTTGTTCTCTGACTGGATGGTAATCATTGAGCCACCCATGAAGAACTCCACTTACTGCAAAAGACCTCTTTTATATAAACCCTTTAAAAACTCAAATGCTTTATCAAACAGGAACATTTATAGTACATTTCCTCTTGAAAGAAAACACAGTTGTAAACTGGATGAGAGCAGTTCATGTGCAGTGCCTTGTGTATAGTTAATCTATGTATGTATTGTCCCTACTTTTCATTGACTTTATCAGTGGTTTTATTACTGAATCTCTACCTTCTCTGAAATCTTTCTCTCAATGCAAAAAGCCTTTGCCTTTTCCTTTCTGAAAGGTTGACATTGAAATCTGACATTCATCCTTAAGGAAAATTTGCATACCAGCATGAAGCAGCCATGTTATTAATCAGTGTTAAATTGTTTAAACTTCCATTAACCTGAAGTCTTACATATCAAACTTAAATAAATTATGAATTGTGATAAAATGTTCTTTATGAGTATTGCAAAGAAAAAAATCCCACCTCAACTGTCTTCCTCCATCCTTATCCTACCACACTCTTAAACCAAATTGCCTTTCTCTCCATAATTAATGTCCTGGCATCGCATGATGTTTCAAAAACAAATACATTGCAATAAGAAGTGATGACACAGTGAACATGTTTTCAGATTAACAATTCACATTAAAAAAAGGTTCATACACCTGTAGTTACTGGATGTAATGCTGGAAGTCAAATTTGAAGGAAAAACAATTCATAACAATAGACTTGAACAATGATTCATTTCATGCACTGTCTGCTTACAGTGCGCGTTCTAACACAACTCTGACAAAAGCCTAAAGATAACTGTAATGGATTAGCTGTCAAGAAAGCATCAAGTCCCTGCAAGTTGATTTTCACTGAGTACTGAAATGAACTAAAAT